TGAGGCTGTCCCTTCCATCTGCTTAATGGGAGAGCCTGCCCTACTTTCCCACTAGTCCCAGTTGTGATACTTTTGTATATAATGGCTGAAATCCTGTTGCTTGACATAGTAAGTTGCATAAGTTGATCCAATTGAATCCATCGGGTTTGGTGAGTCTAATTCTCTGTGAGCTCTGATGAGTCAGTGGACATACCCCAGTTGTGACTTACTAAAGTCCCATTTGAATCAGTGAATTTTAAAGAGGAGTTGACTTGTCAAATCTCCATTGATTCCTACCCTAGCACAACTTACTATGTTAACTAACAGGATTTCAGCCATTTTTCCCCTTTCTTTTAAAAACACCTTTATAAAATGTTTTCCTTTGCAGTAAAACTACAGCTTCTTTTTTCCTTTAAGTAGTTATCCCTTCCTCTTCACTGTAATAGAACTAAAATCTCTCTCTCCAACTCTCCAGAACGTTATCTAAAACCTTAGGATTTCAAATAAAGGGTGATAGGGGGAATTTTCACCCAAGAGCATCCAAAGACAGAGGTGAAAAAATTCCCTATATGGTGATGTTCTAAGAACAATTGCCTCCTACACACAACCCTATATTTAATTAAAGAAGAGCCAAGGCATAGGTGCACTTTGCACATTCATCTTAATGTGCCCACCAACGTGCCTACAACTGAACATAATGTGCCCATAGTTTTAAAATGTAGTTTTTCTTTTTAACTCTGAAGTCAGTTTAACTGCTGCATGCCACTCAATGTTCCCATCTTGCCTTCATAAGACACCAGATCAGTTTGAAGTCCATTTAAATTTCATTCAGTTCATGCCCATGAATGATTGAATACAGCTGTTTCGTCTCTAGGGATGGATGAATCTATCAGTTTCGGTTTCCTTCATACCTGAATGTTTTAAATCTATAGCTCTTTCCATCTTGTTTAAGAAGTTTGTGTGCTATGGAAAGCACTTCTCAAAAGTGAACCAAGTAAATTCTCAACAATCTGTTGTTGTTATTATCATGTGCTGCAAAGTCAGTTTTGATTTAACAGAGACCCTATGAAATTGTCACCTGCAGAAAGCTCCTATCATTAACAACTGTGCTTAGGTCTTGTAAACCTGAGGCTGTAGTTTCCTTGATTGTGTCAATATACCTCCTATTCAGTTTCCACCTTTTCCTGCTGCCTTCTACTTTTCCCAGCATTATTGTCTCAAAGATAATAATTGTTTCCTCATGGTATGCCCAATGATCTCAGTTTAGTGACTTCTGCTTGTAAGGAGAGTTCAGGCTTGATTTGACCTAGAACCTACTTTGTCCTGTAGAGCAGTGGTCCCCAACCTTGGGCCTCCAGATGTTCTTGGACTACAACTCCCAGAAGCCTTCACCATCACCTCTGCAGGTCAGGATTTCTGGGAGTTGAAGTCCAAGAACATCTGGAGGCCCAAGGTTGGGGACCACTGCTGTAGAGGGTCCACATTTTTCATAAAGTTCTATACCAAACACCACCTTTCAAGTAAATTTTTTAGCCTTCTCCACAGCCCAGTCCAGATCTGTACATAGTATTGTAATGGGAAAAACCATAGTATGGGTGACCTTGACCATAGTTTCATGGGACACATCTATACATTTGAGGTTCTTTCCAAGTTGCCTCATAGCTACCCTCCCATTTCTCAGTCTTCTTGGCTGCACTCTCCGTTTGCATTGATGATTGACTTAAAGTATAGAAACTCTTTCACTATTTTGATCTCTTCATTGCCAACATTAAAATTATGTGATTCTTATCTAGGCCTGAATTTGGTCTTTTCAGTGTTCAGCTGTAATCTTGCTGTTGCACTCACTTCTTTCACCTTCAAATCATTGCTGCTTTCCATCAGCAATAGTGTCATCTGCATATATTAACTTATTGTTATTTCCTCTACCAATTTTCATTCTTCTTTCATCTGAGTCTAATTCAACTTTTTGTATGAAGACCTATTTGCTACCTATAGGTTGAACAGATAGAGAGATCAGCTATTGTCTGATACCTTTGCCATTGAGATACCATTGTAGTTTTCCATATTATTGTTTCACAGACATAGTTTGTTTAGCATGATCCATAGTTTTTCATGATCCGCACAGTCAAAGGCTTCAATATAATCAAGAAAACAGAGCCCCCCCTTTTTAAAAATATCTAAATTAATGCAATTATCCTATAGTTACTGCCATCTTTGTCATCCTCTTTGCTATGAAATGTATATTAAATACTTCCAAACTATGGACAATTGTATTGTTTTCTATAGTGGTTGACATATCATTGTTAGGATTTTTGTAGATTTAGCTTCTGTATCTTGAAATATGTTCTATTGGTATCCCATCTAAACCTGGTGATTTATTTCTTCCAGTTGTTATGAGAGCAACGTTCACTTGGATTTTTAAAACTGCAAGTTATTCATCACAGGATTTCTCCTCAAAAGAATCTGTCATCTCTACTTCATAATTCAGTATATTTTTTCTATTTCATCTTGATCAGATAGTATACTTGCCTGATGATCTTCCAGAATCCCTAATCTTTGTTTTAATTTCCCTTTGATTTCTTAGAATTTATGAAGGAGATCTCTCTTTTCACATTTTTGTTGTTGTTCTCTTTTGTTTCCTTGCACTGATTGTTGTAACAATACTCATAGTCCCTACAGTATATGCCACTTGGTGAAGAGTTGCATTTAGGATTCTGACTCTATGTCTGTCACAACTATGTTTGCTTCTCTTATGTTGTTAACCATTTTAAGAATTTCATCAATCATCTGTCTAGGCTTTTCTTTGGATTACAAGAATATTCTTTTTGAATCACCCATGATAATATTTCTGGTCTCATTACATGATTTTTCTGGTTCATGGTCACTTGAGTTTAGTAATACATCTCTCTTCTCTGCCAAATTCACTTGGGACAACTGTTCCCAGCCTGGTTGTACTTCCTATCATGTAGCTGTTAAGGAGAAGAGTCTCAAGAAAGCCTATTTCAGTACCATAATCTAAACATTCAGAGTTTAGGCAAACTTGTCCCACATTCCCCCCCTCCACATCCCAATGATTACGATTTTTTTTCTTTGCACACCCACCCTATCATTAATGATGCCAATCAAAATAATCTGTAATGCAAGATATACCTGCAAACTAGGCTACTGTCTTTGGAAACCAATTCAAGCTATAAAAATAGGCTGTAGAGGAAAGAGGTATTTGCTGGATAATTTTATGCATAGTGATTTCTTCAATTCAAGTTCCACCATATTCAGTGAGATTCACTCCCAAGAATGTTTATGCATGGATGCAACCCAGATCTTTTTTTTTCTCAGATTGGCATATTAATGGGAGTGCAACAATCCCTACTGGCTTGGCTCTTTAAGATAATGTATCTTGAGAAACTTCATGGGAGAAAAGTGTCTTTACCTGTCCTCCCACCAGGCACTGAATAATGTGGGATGGGGCTTCTGAGGGAGGGGGGGCTTTCCCTCACATCAGACTGAAGTCTGAGCTGTGTTAATGCAAGGAATGGAACTGAAGAAAAGCTTCTTGTTTCCTTCCTCCCCTCTAGCAACCCCGCATATATCATCCCACATCATTTGGGGGATCTGCTTGCTTTCCGGACAAGGGTGTCTGTCTGTTTGGCTGGCTGGCTGGCTGGTTCCTTGATTAATAGAGCTGTAGATACCCTGTTTCCTCCCAAAATAAGACCTAACCTGAAAAGAAGCCCTAGTGTGATTTTTCAGGATGCTTGTAATATAAGCCCTATATAGAAGTGAGAGCTGGACCATAAAGAAGACTGACCACCGAAGAATTGATGCTTTCGAATTGTGGTGCTGGTGGAGACTCTTGAGAATCCCCTGGACTGCAAAGAGAACAAACCTATCCATTTTGAAGGAAATCAACACTGAGTGCTCACTGGAAGGACAGATTCTGAAGCTGAGGCTCCAATACTTTGGCCGTCTCATGGGAAGAGAAGACTCCCTGGAAAAGACCTTGATGTTGGGAAAGTCTGAAGGCAAGGGGAGAAGGGGATGACAGAGGACGAGATGGTTGGACAGGGTCACCGAAGCTACCAACATAAATTTGACTCAACTCCAGGAGGCAGTGGAAGACAGGAGGACCTGGCGTGCTCCGGTCCATGGGATCACGAAGAGTCGGATATGACTTGACAACTAAACAACAACAACCTCAAAAATAAGCCCCAGTAAAGTGGAAGTCCACCCTCCACCACTGTGCAGCAACCAGAAGAAGAAGAAGAAGTGTCTGTATTTGAATAAATGTAGATTGCTGTACATGGAAAAAAAAACATCCCCTGAAAATAAGCTCTAATGTGTTTTTTGGAGCAAAAATTAATGCAAGACCCTGTCTTATTTTTGGGGAAACATGGTAGCTATACTGGGGAGGAGGGGATGGAATCTTTTATTGCCACAAACTTCCTTAAAGTAGACTTATTTTAGGTAATAAGCCAATGTGTTAAGTTTTAGGTTCACCTTCATTCTTATTTTCTTACCCTTAAAACTACATGGAGTATAGAAATTCTGACATGTGAAGAACATAATGTATTTTAAGGGGATGAAAGAGTCAAAAACATTAAAATACCTGCCATTAAAATATTTTCAGTGTTCTTTCTAGGCAAAGATGAATCGTTAGGTGCAGGAGAAGCCATGGAGTTCAAAAGAAGGCTGCTTATTCACCATGGGTTGTCACTGCAAATTTTAAACTACATAAAGCAAGACATTGCATTGTGACAGAAGAAAAATGGTATTTATTTCTCCCCAGATTCATGATCTAGTGTGAAGTAATGATGTGAGACTATGCGATTATTTTCCATTAAATTGGTCTGCTTAGACTTTCATCTGTGGCAGCAGGCATAGCTTTTGGGACTGGTAGGCCTGAGGAGAATTCCAAAGAAATCAGAAGCGTTCACATTGTACTTGCTGAGGAAAAGCAAGACATGCTCTGTTATTCAAAGGTTGTTTCCCTTATATTCTTTTATTTGTTGCTTAAACTGCAGTTCAAGAAAGGTTGAAGAGGATGACTTTGAGGATTTCACATCAAACCAAAAATGGGTAATGGCTCCAAAAACACACGACACTGATGTGACGCTGTTGCTGAACAAGTTGCTGAGAGAGTACGATAAAAAGCTGCGGCCGGACATTGGGAGTGAGTAATTTTTCCTTTCAGTTTCTTCAGTAGGGACAACATCTTACCTCTTAAAGTAGATGCTCATGTTTGCTTTTGAGTGACAACCTGCATGCTCTGAGATGAGTGTCGAAGGTCAGCTTTTAGCTTGAGTTGGCCATAACTTTTTGTATATACCACGGACTATCAAGAGTACATAATTAGAATAGGGAGTACAGTTCTAAGCATACATGTTGAATTCCATGTTTGGTTTATTTGTACCTGGAGGTTGGCTGTGTCATTGTCTCCACATTGATGTTAAAAAATTAGAGCAATTATTTAAAAGATAGCTAAATTATTAAGGAGGTAGAGCATCTTCCCTACTATGAAACCTGATTACCATGGGTCTCATTGACTGAAATCCTCTTACCTAATCCCACTGGTGTAAGACAAATGGCATGGCTTTTAGAGGCTAAGTGTCTGAAGTTAAGAACTCACTGTAGACATTACCTGTGGCATACTGAGTTCATGTGTGGCTCAGTAGGCCACCTATGGCTGTGCAAGAAGATTTCACCCATTTAGTTTACCAAAGAGGAGGTGGGTGAGGAGGAAGATGATTTGATACTCTGCAGATATGGGGAGACTGTTCTTGGCAGAATTTGGAATTTTATGGCTTCAAAACCTCTAACTACACAGTAGATAAAAGTTCATGGACTTACAGAACAGAATTAGCTTCTAGTCTCCTCAGAGTAAACCACCCCTTCTTATTTGTTCTCCTCAACTGGCACTTACTATCTCAATAAATCAATCAGAGACACTGTTAAGAGAAAGAATAAAAGTTTTATTTGCTCACAGTTCTGAATATATCAAAAGCAGCATATTGTATAAAAATAATTACTGGTTTCATGAACAGAACTTAACTGACTAATGAGTTGACTCTAATTGACATCCACAAAGCAGCCCCCCTGAGGAAAGATCTCCCCGGGCATCTAGACTCACCAAAATAACTTTAGCAGCTGTCTTGAGGAGAGTCAGAGGAAGCATCTCTGTGATTTTGGTTTCTCTAGGTGCCTGGGGGGCATTGTATAGCTGAATAAATCAATGAATCAAAAATCGCTTAAAAAATCATTGATTCATATTTGTTGGGGCATTGATTCATATGAATATGAATCAATGAATTAGTGATTTTATGAATGAATTTAGTGATTCATTTTTTAATTCATGCCCATCTCTACTCTAAATCTAATTTATAGTTGATTTAGAATAGATCCATTCAATTAGAAATTCCACTTAGTCAGTGAGATTTGTATAAACGTTGACTTACTATTCAGAAGTTTATTACATGCGTTTATTCTAGTCAGGACTTGAATGAAGCAAGAATTTACAAATTTATTATGGCAAAATATGGACCTATTAGAGACTGAAGCCATGTTGATTGACAAATTGTCATTTCTAATAATAAAGTCTGTAATGTCTAGTTTGACCCATTGACCTCACTAGTCCAGAGTCAAATGGGCAGTGAAGATAAGAGAAGCTTAGCAACCTAACAACAACAAAAAAAAACCACCATAGCTAGATTAGAAATGCTTCTGTAGCATCTTAGCAAACAATGTGGTCATAATATGCTGGATGGCTCAATGGTATGGGTATCTGGCTGTGGAGCCAGAAGTTTGGAGGCCAGTCCCATGGAAAAGTAGTGGACATGGGATGGTAAAAGTGGTACAGCTGCCAATAATTTCTTTCAATTTGTATTAGGCTAGTTTTCTAGATGTTTTTAATATTGCTATACATTTAGTTCTATTTTAATATTAATATTTTAATTCATTCAGATTTTGTTCACCCCTTTTAAGCTGTTGAGTGCTGCCTTGGGTTGCTCCATTGGGAAAAGGGTTGGCTTAAGATAAGCCTGTCCCTTCCAGCTTTGCAGTTCTAAGATCCTTCTTACATAGCTGGACCAATATACAGCGATCTGTAATGACTGCTTGATCAGAGTTGCTTACAGTCAGCTACAGCCAGTTCCATGGAAAAGTAGTGGATATGGGATGGTAAAAGTGGTACAGCTGCAAATAATTTCTTTCAATTTGTATTAGGCTAGTTTTCTAGATGTTTTTAATATTGCTATACATTTAGTTCTATTTTAATATTAATATTTTAATTCATTCAGATTTTGTTCACCCCTTTTAAGCTGTTGAGTGCTGCCTTGGGTTGCTCCATTGGGAAAAGGGTTGGCTTAAGATAAGATAAGATTAAAAAAGATCACCATGTCTAAATGAAGGTAGGATGAATATAAGGTACAAGAGAAGTACAAGACAAAAATTAGAAAGCTGTTTGCACACCTAGTTTCTTACGCCTTTGATTCAAGTTATGGGTGTGGTATGTTGAAGGTCAACTGGGCACACAAAAGGGATGTGTGCTGACTTTCTTTGTGAAAGTATAAGTGCCTAGACATAGGAAGATGAATAAATGCGTCACCGCTCTGCCATGATGCAATGATAATAAACAGCAATAGCGTGCCTATGTCAAGGAGCTACAGCCAGCCCCGTGGAAAAGCATTCTTTTCCTTTCAGAGATGCTTCATTTTCATGGGAGATAATGTTGCTCCACAGTTACTAGAATGAACTCTACCATTAGGCTCTTTAAGGCAGTAGCCTTAGGTAATGGTAGCTGATGTTAACTTGTTAGAGGGCAGAACCTTGTGCCATGCCGCCTGTCCTTCTGCCCCCTAAGCTGGTCTGCTGCTTTTAGTGGCAGGGCTACTCTGTCAGTGCTGAAGAAAGATTAATTTTCCAGTCCAGCTATCTGGGGTGCACAGAATAGTGACATCTTTCCTTGGACAGCAAAATGTTTTAGGTTAGCCCTGGCAATCACAGGCGAACTGCTACTGGTAATGTTTCCTTCCCTGTTTGTATAACCTAGCTTCTTTCTGTAAAACGGTTACCAAATAATTTGTCTCAGTGCCATTTTTGATGTTGTTTTGTTTAGGAAAATGTCATGTTTCTCCAAACAAAGACAGTAATATTTCCAGCTTATTAATATGCAGTCTTGGAAGCTGTTTGACATGGACCAAGATCAAGGCTCTTCAGATTACAGCAATAACATGTTTCAGAGCCAGTAAAACAACTCCAACAACATTTCTGGGTTGATATTTCATTTTATCATGTACATCCTGTCCTTAGGTCACTAACTTTGAGAATAAATCATCTCTCCCACACAGACCCTGAATGAATGGATGAAATTATATTATGATTCCGCAGGGGGACAATCTAATCATAAAGTCAGTTTCCATAAGATTATCTGTGATGTCGCATTATCTCCCACATGGAAAGATCATCCATTGGCAAAATAATTCCCATTATCTCCCTGTATGCATCCATAAATCTTGGCTTACACCAAGGAGTCAAATTATTTGACGTTTCACATATTCTAACAGACAGGAGAGAAAGAAGGACCATATGATTCTGAACTATATCAAGGTTTTTAAATGACTCTAATAATTTTCAAGCTGTTTTATAGATGTATAAAAATATCTGTCTGTACACAATATTTGGGAGGAAGGAAGAATAACCTTTGCAAATGTGATAGCACACATGAATGGGGAACATACTGCCCTTGGACCAAATGTAGTCTTTCTTTCTTTCTTTCTTTCTTTCTTTCTTTCTTTCTTTCTTTCTTTCTTTCTTTCTTTCTTTCTTTCTTTCTTCCTTCCTTCCTTCCTTCCTTCCTTCCTTCCTTCCTTCCTTCCTTCCT